CTTTAAAAAAAAAAAAAAAAAAAAAACCCCCCCCCTTTTTTTTTTTTTTTTTTTAAAGTTCTATTCAAGCATATTCATCAAAGTATTTTAGGTGCCATGTGTATTCACATCAAAAACCTAACATTATTATACTCAGATTCCTGTCCTGGAGTTTTCATACCTTGGACAAGTTGGAACCAAGACCTAAGTAGGCTATCGTAGACATAAGTAGAGATATACATGTGGATTTAAATTGGCACGTATAATAACAAGAAAAGAAAGAATGAAAAAAAAAAAGTCAATGAGGTTGCATATGGACATTTTATAATATGTTTATAGTATTGAATCCCAATAGCAATGTTACTGAACAAGAGTTATATATAGCTTAGATCTCCAACTTTTCAGTAGAAAATTCTCAAAATCTTAACATGCCCAGTCAGACTTAAAGTATTGAACTTTGTGTTCAACATAAACTTTTACGTGTCAGAAATGTGAAATGGTAAAAACAAACACTTCACCTTACTTTAAATTGTCCAGTTTTGTGCTTGTGGTGATACCAGTGACTTCTGAACTGCCACTTTAAGGAAAGGTCTTCCAGTTGAAATGCAGCTTTAACTTCTTGAGCTAACCCATTTTTTAATTGGTATGCAAGTTGTTGTTGGTTTGGATTTTCATTCTGTTTTAAGTGTTAAGTTGGAATAAGTTGATAAATATCAATGAATGTTTTTTATTTTGTTTCATGTTAATAACAGGAATACTACACTATCATGGTCACTAAAGCTATATCTTAAGCTTGTGCATTGTTGAGCATTAAAAAAAATTCATGAACTTTAACAGTCATATGTTCTAATAATGCTGTGTATACTCTTCCAGGCTGTTATTCCAGACAAGGTATTTATTCATGTGGCTTTAGGGCCAAAAATATTGTTAAAGACAAGGATATCCAACTTGAAAAAACAATCATTCTAATTGTTGTAACTATTGCAGTTTGAACATCTTGTTTAATTAGCTATGTGCTTTATAGGTATACAATTTTTTGGTTGTTCTAATTCCTGTAGGTAGCTTGCTTTGATCAGAAGTTAGTACTAATGTTTATAAGCTTCTTTACAACTTTGTAACCACAAGTACTATATTTATATCTTCTATTCTACTGAAACACATAGCAACCAACCATGCAATTGAACAGCTAAAGTCAGGCCAAAGAAATTCCCTGTGTTTTGGATGTTATTTAAGTAGCCTAATATTAAAATCAAACAACATAAAACTTGAGATAATCTCAGTTTGTTTAGAAAAATAAAATTTGACTATAACTTTATCTTACAAAGTTTGAAAACCATTAGGAATAATTAAGAATAAATTTTAAAAAGTACTGTATCATACTATCATTGTAAAAATAAAATATTACAGTAGCCAGAATGGAGAAGTTAACACAGTAATACTTATGTTATCTGATTAGACTTTCAAATTTTGTAAACATTTTTTTATGAAAAAAGTACTGAAAATTTGGTTAAACAATGAAAAAAATCTAGTATTTTGGATTAATTGATCTTGACCATGTAGTCCTAAAGGAACTAAGTAAAAAGTTGAATAAGTTAACATCAATTTATTCTGTAGTATAAAAACTTTTAATTATTATAGCTTTACCTTACAAAGTTAAAATCCAGTAGAGAACAGATAGTAAGAAAACGTGTAGTCTAATTGGATAATCTTGGTTTTATTATATTGGGAAGCATGGCCTAATGAATTGCAGCATATTAACAAACTTGTATGGCTTTTGGATATGTGTCTCTGGTATCATCCATTCCATAGAGCATCTTTCACCAATAACAACACAAGAAACAAAGTGCACATAAGCACTTCTGAAATACATAAACTGCTGTGAGTCATGAAACAGTAGTTAAATCTGTAATAATAGGCACTAAATATTCTTAGGCACCCAACTTGAGCATATGAGCTATTTTTAGCTCATAGCTCAATCTTTTGAAGGATTTGAGAGCTAATTACAGTTTTGTACTCAGGAGGTCAAACAATTTTGATTGATATATTTGACCATACCCAAGGTCTCTTGATTAATTTACTCTAATGCTACCTAAAAGAATTTCAATTTGAGGTTAGATTGGTAGAGATCGTGATGTGTAATAAAATCGAATCAGGTATACGTGAGCCCCATGCTTGGCATTGCTGGCACACAAAAAATATAGCTAATATAAAGGAAGAAAAATGTATCATAGATTAATTTACTCTAATCCTGCCTAAAAGAATTTCAAATTCTGTGGCTTATTTTTTTTTTTTTTTTATGTACAAACATTTAGCTCATAGCTCCATAATCTCTTGACCAATTTAAGATCTAATTACAGTTTTGTACGCAGGAGGTCAGACCCCCTCGATTGATGTATTTGCCTAAAAGAATTTCAAGTTCTGCAACTATTGAGGATTCCCTCACAAGCTATGCCAATTTTTTTTACGTGCCTCAGGCATGTTTGGTAGTATAATTTTAGTACTCTGTGTAACCTTGCAAGATGGAAAAAAGCCATTTGATCTATGAAGATCACTAGTTAAATTTTTATATGAAATACTTTTTTAAAAGAGAAACTTAAAAAATTTAACTCATCATTACCATACACATGTTCATCAAAAGAACGATAAGCTAATGATCTAAACTAGTAACCAAAAATTTTATCCTAAAATTGTTGGGATGGAAAAAGATCAGAAACTAGAGATCATTTGGGATTGGCAGAAGATCTGCATTACCTATTCCTACAAGTTGAAGTCTTTGTTTCCAGTGGGGCTGTAGCTCCTAGGTGGAAGGCACCATTTCACCAACTTATTCAGTTTCATTCAATAGGGAGCCATAATATAATCCATAGATGTTACTTCTTGAAGCAAAATAAGTCATGGCCTGAATACTGCATGGTGTGGTAAGAAGTATTCAGTAGATTTATCTATTTCTGTATAATGCACATAATGGCTTACTGATCAGATACCGTAATTAGCGCTTTGGGCTGTCTATCATGGATCACTTGCTACTCTAGGTATGAAAAGGCACATACTAGAGAGTAGTGAAGTGTTTTGGTGTGCAGACTGGTTGTTGGCACACTGTGGTTTATGAGTTACAGCTGTTGGAGAAGGAGAAAATCAGTGTTTTTGTGGCCCATTTTCTAGATGTTGAGAAAGGATAGCTGAACTTTAGAGGCAGTTTTGTACTTAATTAGTGAAGGTCTTTATCACTTTGGCTGGATTTTGTCAAAGTCTTGGTGTACCTGCTACTGTACACAATGTATAGGCCACCATATTTAACTAGACCCATCCCTACATAGGGATCGTTACCACATTCACTGATAAGAGAACTGAATAAATAGCAAGTCATCGTCTCAGCTTCAAATGTTTGTTCTTATATGTTAATCTTAAGAGTTTGGCCAGACTTGCTGTCTAGAAACTAAGTTCTTTAGCCATCTTAGGTTAAAGTTGGCAAATGTCTTTGAAAATTTTTACATGCAACCTAAAAGCCAGATTTGGTCTTCTGAACAATAAATGTCATCTGTGCCATTTGCTTGTTTTGCATTCATTCAAACATATTTTAAGGTTACTGTAATAAGTGAAAAATATGGTTTTTGTGAAACAGTAGTTATATTCACATTAAAAGGTATGCATACTTTTTGAAGTTTCTTGAATACTGAAGTCTGTTGGTAATAGATTACTAAATTCTGTGTTTTTATAAACTTTCAGAATTATTTTAGAATGTATGTTAATAAGCTCTACATTTTTATATGTATGTCCGTCATGTACCATAAATTCAAGGTTTGAAATAAAGGCTTTTGTTACTTATTTTAATATTTATGCATTGTTCATAATTTACAAAAATCATTCATTAAGATTGTTGATTTTCTAATACCTTCTTGACTTTGGAAGGTTTTACACTGCATAAGTACATCATATCAATTGGTGTAGTTGCAGCCTTACTTTTAATTCTGATGTTAGTCAGAAGCAACAGTAAATTGTTCACTAAAATCTGATTTACCAAAATATAAAAATAGGTTATTGTTTGTTTCCTATCAATATCTTTTTTATTTTTTTTTTATTAACTAAGTCACTTGTGGATTTGTATTTTTTTCAGTCATGAAGACACAGTATTATCTATTGTCGATTTTTCTTTTATATATATACATGAAATTGTAACCAGTTTATTTCTCTTTAGCTATGTGCTGGGGCATGATGCCATGCGGCGCATGGCCTCCGCAGATGTCCTGATATCAGGCATGGGTGGTCTGGGGGTGGAGATAGCAAAAAACATCATCTTGGGAGGAGTAAAGTCGGTCACAGTTCATGATGATAGTTTGTGTGAATTAAACGATCTCTCTTCTCAGGTACAGACTTAAATGTGATGTTGTAACCATTTATAAGTTAGATAGAAAAAACTGATACTTTGTGTGTAAAGTAGGCTGAACAAATTAGAAATATGCCAATATTATTTTACTTCCGTGTTATTATATGTGTGTGAATGCATTCATGTATATACTTATTTCTAAAAATATATAAATAAAATTAGTAATTATGTAGTTTGGCCAACTAAGCATATTTAGAATTAGCAAGGAAGTTAGAATAGCTGCATATCATGAATTGAATGTTACTACTCTATGCTTGAAAGATTTACATTATTTTTCCAGAACATTTCAGTAGTTGTGAGTGGATATTTTAATATTCAGTTTCAGAAAAACAAACAAAAACCAAAGATGAGTAACTATTTGTTTCAGGAAATTTTGTTAATTGGGTTTAAAATGAATTTTTAAATTATATTCAATCTGAAATAAATTTGTTGTTAGAATGACTAAAGAAATTAATTACGTTTAATTTATGAAAACCAGTATTTTCTGCAAATTCACTTTTTCAGAAAAGTTGAAATATATGCTTATTTGGTACTTAACGAATTTCAGTGATGAACACGGAAAATTGACTTTGTGATTTCTTTTCTTAATGAAGTTTAAAAGTGATGTTTTAAACACATGATTGTAATTCACTGTCTATAATTAACAATAAATTTTGATTATAGTTTTACTTCAAAAAAGCTGATGTTGGAAAAAATAGAGCAGAAACTTGTCTACAGCAGCTGCAAGAATTAAATACATACGTGAAAGTCAATGCCTACACGGGAAAACTCACTGAAGATTTTCTAAAGAATTTCAGGGTAGGAACTTTTGTTTCAAATTTGTTATGATGAATATTTGAAAACTTTTCTTAATTACCGCTTAAACTGGAAAGTGTGTGATTCAACTGTAATCTGACCATAGACCCTCAGTCTTTGCATTTTTTGGGAAAACATTTTAAAGATATGTGTGCTGTGCATTGCTTAAAAAAGAAAAAAGAAGCATTTGATACTGATGAAAGTTCATCAGTTTTACATACAGTAATAAATCATTCAGTGGAATGATTTGGATCTTCAAATGGCTATCACCATACGTTTTAAGTAGTTCAGCAACTAGGTATGAAAGGTATCTTTACATGTTCTTTAAGAAAGATTTGAAGATTGTTTTACTACTAGACCCTTCTAACAAAATAAACAGAAATTTTGTATAATAAATTCAATCTAAAAATTGATATTAAAACTTGTCTGAACCCTTTCCTGTCCATTGACATTTTACTATTTTTTATTTATAAAATTTAATAATTCATAAATGTCATCATATCTGAAACATGAACACTTATTACAAAGCATGGTTAGCACTGAGTGTTTGTAATTGTGACTTAGAATTTTTTATAGTTATTTAATAGTTTATAATGAAACCACTGTGACAGATATATACTATGCTTTAGCACAAAACATTAGTAACTGTTGACCTTGATGTTGGGTTTCACACGTGCACACTATCTATAATACAGTCACAAGTTTTATGGTGTCATGTGCTTACCCACTTCAGTTATATCTGTCATAAAACAATAGTATTTACCCTACTGTATCTTATTAATAAAAGCTATTGCTGTGCTGGTTTTATGCAACAAACCATTTTAAAAAAACCTACCTATCTCTTAAGTTAATTGTGGGATAAAGTCCACTGTAAGACTTAGTTTCAAATTATCAACAGGAGTTTTTGTAAAGGAAAAAGAAAGCATCTTCTAAAATTACTTCATTAACTCTTACATAGCAAAGAAGAAAGAGAGAATAAAACCATGATATAGTTAGATTATAGAAAGATGATGTTAAGAAAGGCTTGTCATGTATTAGCTAACATCATTGAAATTTACAATTATGTAAGGCAGAATTGCAGCTGTTTTTAACACATTTACAAGTTTTGTCTGCATTTTAATTTTTTATAATTTTTTATCAAATAAATATTCATTAAAAACTTGAACACTTCAGTTAGTGAATTGGGAGGGGAATCAGACAGAATTTTTTAAGATTTAATATTATCATGTGCCATCTCCAAAAAAACAAGAATAATAAAGTGGAAAGAGTTAAACTCATCATTGGAGACGTGAATGAAGCACAATTACTATATGTAGGCTTATAGCGTGTTTTTTTTTCATAAGCAAAAACTGTCATTGTATTACATCATATATATAGTTAGTCTTGTTACATTAGGTATGTTTAGTTGAACTATTAGATAAACAAACATTTTGCTTTAGTAGTTTCAGGATGTATTCTTACAGCTAAAAACTATATATATAGTTAGTCTTGTTACATTAGATATGTTTAGTTGAACTATTAGATAAACATTTTGCTTTAGTAGTTTCAGGATGTATTCTTACAGCTGAAACCTCGCAAAGAAAAATGTGTTGTAAGATACTTTTTTTGTGTGTTTTCAGGTTGTTGTTTTAACAGACACACCACTCGAAGAACAGCTTAGGATTGGAGATTATACTCATTCAGAAAATATTGGTCTTATTGTAGCTGACACCAGAGGTCTCTTTGGGTAGGGGTATAATTTATAAATATGCAAAGAAATACTAAACTGTTAACATATTATATCATGTCTTTGTATATTGCTATTATTTTATAAATAACTGAATCATGCCCAATGTCTTCTACCTATTTTTTTTATATCAAAATATGACCTTTTTAATTCATTATGTAAGCTTTTTTGAATGGATTTGTGTAATTATGAAGCATAAAATACAGTGCTTTTTATAACGTTTTTATTTTTATCAGTATTGTAAAAACAGATATTCTAAATTCACCCAAACAATAAAGTGAAAGTCCTTTATTTATCAGCTTTAACCCTATCTACAGTGGCATCTACTGTACATTTAATGAGGTATATATATAGTGATTTACATTGAAAATTTAATTAAACTTGATTTTATTTATGTTTTACTAATTATTATAGCATACATTCATAGCTAATAATCCATATTTTAGTAGTACATAAGTTTCAAGTTTTATTTTATAAGGCAATATTTAAAAAAAAATCCTGAATTCTCTGGGCAATCCCCTCTTCTCTAATTTATTCACCACCCCTCCAGTAAGTACAAAATTTAATGAAAAATTTTCAATACAAAATAATCATTGCTTAGACAAAGCATAATTTTTATAACCTTCAATTTCGTTTGGTTACAGAGCCATCAAATAGAAAAATGTCATATCCTCTCTTTCAGGATTTGTTGATTGTTCTCTTTCACGTTTAAATCTGTATTATCTATAACCAATAGAAAGCCCAGGTTTTCATCTTTCAAATGACATATAACATTGCAGTGTTTTCTGAACAGAGAATTTTCAATTTCTTCGTTAGTACAAGCTTCATTCCCACGGGAAATATATCAACAAACTTGGATGAATTTGTAACAGCTCTTGCCACTAACTTAGAAAGCCAGAAAAATTGTGATGATTTTGGGGCGTTGTCTGCTTTTTGCATGTTATTATTCAATGTTCTTTGGTGCCTTATTTAATTAAATGAAAATTATTTAGTGCACTACTACCATTTGTATTAAAAAGAAAAAAAAAGAGGGTCAAGGTAAGTATTTTATTTCTTGTTTCTCATGTGTATTCTTTATTTATTACTATAAAAGTAACTAAAATGTAAAAATAGTAATATCTTTAAGTTAGTTAAAGCTAGATTAGGTAAAATAAATATCTATAATATAATAAAAATGTTTCACAAGGGATGCATGCTAGCAACTCAGAGGAGCTTGTAATTTGATAGTGTAACATGAGCTCCACGTTCCCAACGTGATTTACAACTTATAATGGGGGTGAATAGTAGTTAGACACAGTTCAAAGGGCAATGAAATTAAGGATATAGATGTATAGTGTTACAAGTTTAAAGCTACTTAGGATAAATGAATGTAGTTTCTTGTTACAATATGAAGTCATTCCAGAAGGAAAAAAAAAAGTTAATTTAGATTTTATTTATTTATTTTTGGTGGTTATTACAATGCTGGTGGAATTGAATAACTTTCTATTGAGTTAGGGTAGAGAAAATAACAGAAAATATAAAGTTTAACTGAAAAGAAACATTTGAAATGTATTTAGGAGGTTTTAGAGATTACACAAATGAAATTTGAGATTTTTTTAATGAAGAAAGGTATTTTTAATCTCAACATGAAAAATTGCTGAGACTGAAAGTCTGCCAAATTTTGTTAAGATATACACACTATATTAAAAGTCAGTAGATACAAAATTATAATGACTTTAACTTTCTCAGCACTGGCTCAGGTCAATTTGATTGACCATGTGACCTCTTTGTATTTGTTTAAAGTCTTTATAGATTTAATACTTCTAACTTTCAATATAGTGTGTATATCTTCACAAAATTTGGCCGTCTTTCAGTTAATATTACAAGTCTTTCACCTACAAAAAATCATATTTTTTAGTGGAGTATTTTTAATAAACTAAAATAAAGATTTGTCCCAGAATATATTGAGTATTTGTTTTGAATATTCTGTGTGCAAAGTGATTTTCATGTTAAAATTAAAATTACTTATTGTCATCTCAAAAATCTCAAATTTCCTATATATAATCCCTAAAACCTCCTAAATGCATTTCAAACGTTTTTTTTTTCCACTAAATTCTTATAGTTTGTTATTTTGTCTACCCTAACTCAAAATGGGATCGGTCAATTTGACCGACCTCATGACAACCAAAAAAAATCAAAATTAATCGTTTTTTTTTTCTTTCTAGAATGACTTCAAATTGTAACATGAAACTTCATTAGTTTATCCTAAGTAGCTTTAAGCTCATAACAATATAC